CAAGAAACACTGGGACCATGTTCCCTAACTCCAGGGGCACAGGAGAGGCTGCTCATGCCCATGACAGCTGCCTGCCACTGAAAATTCCAGCTGTAAAGGCTGAAGTTTGTTGCAGTTACAAGTGATTGAAAGTAGGGATTCTTCATGGAAAACCTGAACTATGAGCATCACTGTGACTCCACCTTTAATAACTTTAATAACATGTATGTCATAATGAAGAGTGGCATATGCTGAACAAACATCTCCATAACCTCATTCGTTAAGAGGCCAATCTTTCAATATCTAATATTATGTCTCAAAGTCAAGTAAACAGTACATTTTGGTGCAAACAGGCTGACTTATGGAATTACTTACACTGGACGATCATCACTTTGTGGGTGTGTGTGTATGTGACACAAAGGAGCAGACAGATGATGAAGTGGGCAGCACTGCTGACCTAACAAGAGTCTGAAAGCCATTTGGGCCAGATCATTAGGGAGTGCAATACAAACACTGATCAAACAAAATTTACAATAGAAAATTAGAATTGTGAAGGGGTAAGAGATCTTTTCAGGAGGAAACAAGCAGTGAGCCTCAGAGAGTGTATATAAACCATTTTCTCTGCCTTAGTGAAACAAAATTCCTGATGTGGAGCTAGCAAGGGGAGGAAAATAGAAACAAGTGGGAATATTTAGAGCAAGGTTTCTCTTTCAGTTCCCTYGTGGTCTATTTTTGTTCTCATATTGCACTTGAGAACCAGCAGTCACTGGGAGGCMGAGCATGTAGGTGCAGTCGATTGGCAACCACTTGGCTCTGCTCCATGGGCTGTTCTTGTTGGCAGCCCAGGTTTGGCTGAACACTGCTGTCCTCAGGGACCCCTGCTCCTCTGCAGCTTTCATTTCTAATTTACATGGTTTTGCTTTGAGTTTCCACCATTATGTATGGACACTGGAAACGCTGTTAGCAAGTCCTGCTCTATTTTTACTAGCTCTTCCCTTTGAAATGAGTGACCAGGTGAGATGGGGTGAACTTGTGCGTTCTGACCCAGATATTTCTGGTGTTAATTCAACAACAGTGAAAAGGTTCCCGTGTGAAGAGGTGATTGTTACTAAGCTTTGTAATTGCCACCGTGGTGCTGAGCATGTTTCTGAATCACTGTTTCATGTTTGATAGTGTAGRTGTCATGTTTGACAGGTCTGTTAGTGTGTGCTGTGATGCTTCACTGAGGGGCGGTGGATAATGGGGAACTCTTGGATCTGGGAAAAGACCCGGTTTGCTGCTTGTCTTCTGTGGACTAGCAGTACTTAAACTCCATCCCAGTTCAACACACAAACTCTGGGGGCTTGGAGCCTCCCATGGACTCCAGCAGAGCTGTGGAAGCAGCTCTTAGGTCAGTATTAGCCATGCCACCTRCCAGGCTCCATACTACTGAGCAGAAAAGGGCTCCTCGGCTCKGTGACTTTCATGTGGGGCAGCTCTCAGCTGGTGGTGAACCTCCAGGCACTGAATTAAGTTCACGTGTTTGAAAAGCTTGTTCACAAACTCAGGGAGCATGTATCATGGTTCTTTCATGAGCTTGAAAATCTGTACATGAAATAACTACATCKAAGTGAAACCAGGCAGCAGAATGACACTGCCCTATTTTTCCAGCTTGGTGAGTTAAGAAAAAAAAAAAATCATCAAGTTGATGTATTACTTAGGGTAATTGGAAAAACAAAATTTAGATTAAAYTTAAATTCTGATTTATTACAGGTGCCCTGCAGCAAGTTCTTACCTAATAAGCAGAACAAACTTCTGCTTTCTCCAAGTGCTGCCATAAACCACATTATTTCCTTAGGTAAGAACTTTGGCCAAGATCTCCATAATGTGTGTATCCCAAACTAGACGCTGAAAAACTGATGAGTTTTTTGAGTCCTGCTTATGTTGGAAAGTGAAGCCACAGATTTAAATAGTTAACTATGGATGTGGATTTGTAGTTGAGCTTTCAAAGACCTGGCCTTTGGCATCTTCCAGGGCAGCACGTGTGCAGTTGAGGCTGACAGCTCTGTGCTCTTGTGGCAGGGAACTCAAAAAGGTGACTTTTAGCAGAACTGGTAAAGACCTTCACGATGCTGCTGGCCAGGTCATGGACATCTGATGTGCTTCTGAGCAAATCTGTGAATGGACACAGGTTCTAGCCCACTGTTTTATAGCAGGCAAAATTGGGGCAGTTGTATTTGTGCCCAGCTGCCCGCATAAGTCTCGTCAGTGCTAATTTCAGCCATCCAATTTTAATTGGCTGTCACATGTCTGCCAGAGCATTGCAGGAGGATGGGAGGGAGGATATTTTCCCTGATGACTGCTGTTGACATTTGCAGAATAAAAGTGAAGTCAGTCAGTTGTTTGTTGGAGGTTTTGGTGCCTGTAGCWGTTCTGAACCAGCTGGGATCACCCAGTGACTGTCCCCCAGCAGGGACCTTCCCAACTGCAGCATGGGGAAAATTGCTCAGGCTGTGTTGGTGTTGAACTTTGYTTTTTAGACCAGGGACGTCAGGGAAATTAAAATGATCAATCTTCCTGTACAATTTGGGGAAGCAAATGAGAAGGGATTATATTCTTTGCTGCCCCACAAAAAAAAGGAAATAATTCAGGAAATGTTCACCTACAGAGGCAGGCTTAGGGAAGCAGTGACGTGGGAAGGGACTGATGGCTTTGTGTACAGAGGGCATCTTGCTGCTTTGGTTTTCACTAAGAGCAGCTACTGTAGAAGCAAGGCAAAATATGAGTTCACCCCAAATTCTACAGGGGTGTGTGTGTGTGAAGGCTGATGTTTTTTTATTCTGGTGTTGTAGGCTTGAGGTAAGAGCATCAGAATGATGTGTTTGCTGGTGGTCCTGAAAAGTAATTCTTCTCTGGCGGGATCCAGGCTCTAATAGCAATGAAAATAACTTCTCTTTCCTAGAAGGATGRTCTTGACCTTGATTTTCACAAAATCACCAGTGTTGTTATTTCAACAGATTGGTGTGTGTCAGGACCATAAACCATCACCACTGTGTGCAAGTGAATGGTGGGAACACCTCCCATTGGGAAGGGGAGGATTGAGGGGACAAAGAGAGTCTCAGTAAGCTGTGTTGGTAAGAAWAGGACCAGACAGAGAGCAAAGATGATGCCAGCAATAAGCATGAGCCAAGACTGAGAAAAAATGAGAGAGATTTGAGAAAATTGCAACATAAAAGACGTAACAGAAGTTCCTGTGGAAAAGAGGAGATGAAGCGGAACAGGGAAAGAAGTGGGAGGAGGAGGAGGTGCTTCTGCAAGCAGTTAATAGCAGCCCCAAAGAGAGTTTTAATTGGAAACCTATTATAATTATCCACGGTTTCCCTCCCATGCGTTTCAGGAATGTGTGTGGCAGGTACTTTTCCTTTTGGCTGGGTTACTGATGCAGAGGGCACTGGGTTTCCAGCCAAGTGGCAGATCCGTGTTTGTGTTTACCAGGCTCTGAGCAAACACGTTAATAATGTCATTTGTCGTGGGAGATGACTCTGCAAACCGATTTCAGGTTTTTCTGTAGCAGACGGGGAATGCACTCTGATTCTGCCCTGTCTAAAGCTGCTCATTTTAACTGTTGGAGCATGAGCTGTTGTCACCTGGCAGGACGACATTGACCCTAGTTGGTGCTAGAGGAGACCTTGACCTCGTTGGTATGACCCATGGAGGCTCCTTCTAAATCCCCCGGGGGACTTTCTAAGTAGGGAAGGGGGTGAATCTGCAGTTTGTACATTCTTCATGTCTGGAAGGGTGAAAAACAACCAGGGAGGGTTCCTAAAATTTGTTTGAACTTAGTTGTCCTTTACCACTTTGTGGGATGCCAGTGYCACGTGCTGGAGGGCTGCTTGGAATGCTGGTGCTCCTTCAGAGGCTTCCTTGAGCAGGGCACCTTTCTGCTTGTTGGCAAGCAGGATTGCCAGGACTCTGATGTTACAGATGCATTTTTCAAATCCCTTTGGCAATTGAGATCAGAACAAGTGGAAACTGGTGGCCACAATTTTGGTTAAAAGCAGCCGTTTCTCATCCCACATGAAAGCCCTTTGGCTAGTGAAAGCATAGAAATTTGGAGGTCAGTGAGGGGTTGGGTTAAAGCCAAGGCTGGAGAAGTGGGAGCTGTAAAAGTTGCATAGCTTCTGCTGGAAGCACCTGTCTCTGTTCTGTCAAATTACGGAAGGGTATGGATTGGAAAGGTTCTTTACAGACCATCCAGTTCCAYGCTCTGCTATGGATAGGGGATATCTTCCACTGGACCAGGTTGCTCCAAGCCCTGTCCAGYCTGKCCTTGGACRCTTCCAGGGATGGGGCAGACACAGCTCCTCCGGGCACCCTGTGCCAGGGCRTCACCACCCTCAGTGTAAAACATTCCTTCTCTATGTCCAACCTAACCCTGGCCTGTTGCAGTTTAAAACTGTTGCCCCTTGCTTGTCATGACAGACCCTGGTAAAAAGTCTCACTTTCTCTTTCATGTTAGCCCCTTTCATAAGCTGGAAAACTGCAGTAAGGTCTCCCTGGAGCCYGTTCTTCTCYGTGTTGTACAACCCCAACTCCCTCAGCCTTTCCCTGTGGAAAGCTTTGTTTTTATTGTGCGGGTTTGTTTACCTTGCAAACACTRAACCCTTAATGAATAGCTCTTACCTGTCAAGAGTCTTCCTTGACTACATGCCATCAGCTGATTTAAATCCCTTTGAAGGGAAGGTGCTGACAGACTCCCCTTGCTGGTTGTGTGCCAGAACTGCTTCCAGATCATTCAAGGACATTGAATGGTAGAGGGAGTTCTGTGTGTATCCGTGTTCATCCTTCCAGAGCATGGGTGAGGCTCASCAGCCTGGTGGGCTCTGGGACCCGTCAGAGCAATTTCTCATGTCTCTGTTCAGAACGTGGGGGTGAGGATGAACCCTTAGCCGGAGGTGCCTCTTATTTAACTTGGTGTGCAGCTGGGGAGCACTCATGTGAAAAGCATCCAATGTTTTCTGTCTCTTCTTTTTCACTTGTAGGTTTATACTTCAGCCTAAAGGAGTGATTCATAATCAGCTTTTAGAAAAACAGAGAATAGCCGAAGAGAAAATTAAGGAGTTAGAGGTAAGTTTTTGGCAGGTAATGATGAGCAAAGTAGAACATTAAGATGCTGTTTGCTACATCATGTCTTGTTTTTATCTGCTACTTTTCATGCTGAAGGATTGTAACTAAATGAGACAAAGAGTCTGTTACAAGTAACCTACAAGTTACTCAAGGTACTCGGTTCCTTCCCTAGATCTACAAATCAGTAGGGATTGATTGTTCACTCTATGTCCTGGTRTGAAAACCGGGAGTGAGATTCAATTCAAATGAAATTATTCAGAGCAAGGTCTAAAACAAGCAAAAGGATGTTTGTGTGGTTATTTGCGGCAGATAAGTGATGTAAAACTTTGCCAGTGCTGTGGGTATTTAAAAGTTACACTGGCTCAGAACAATTGCACAAATTCATGGAAGAGAAATCCATCRAGAATTACCAAATATGTAGAAATGGCATCCTGCTCAGGAAGTCCCTGAACTAAAAATGTCTGGAGGGTGGGAAAGTATGAAGAGGAAGTACCGTATAGGCCTGCCCTGTCCTTACACTCTGCCCTGAGCATCTGCTYGGGGCTGCTGTTGAAGAGTGGGTGTGTGGGGAGATGGGACTTTGTTTTGACAATGTGGTCAGAGTACTTCTGTGTTCTTGTGTTTATCTGGTTGGAGTATTCAAGGCAGAGAAGGATATCTAGGAAATAAAAAGTAGTGTCTGCGCAAGTTCCAGTGTTCAAACAGGCTATCTAGTGAATCTTGACTATCTTCTTGTGGCTGCGTGTACAGCTTTACAGTTGTTCTGAGATGTGCAAAATGTACTTTTCCAAGGCTGTTAGTGTGGCGTTTTTTATAATGCTCCTAAAATATCATTAATACAAACCCCTGTTTCTTGGTCTTTGGAAAACGACAGAGAAAGCAAAGACCAGGTTGTGCCAGGCTGCTTTTCCCATCTGTTGTTGTTTTGGAGAAAGTTATTTGGAGGCCTGATAAGTAGGGACAAACGAATAGGAAATCTGTGTTCAAACCCACTCAGACTTGTGCAGTTCCGTCTCTGCTGTCTCCTACTTACACTAAAGCAGAAGTTGAGTCTGTATTTTTAAAAATTCCTTCTTAAAACTCAGCCTGCCTGGGGAGCAGTGGAGCAAGCCCATCCCCAGATGTTATGTTGCCTGGAGTATTTTCTGTGCCAGACATTAAGGGGGTTTGTTTTTCTGCCCCCGAGAACTCTTTCTACACAGGTCTAACAAGTGCTCCATGGGCAGGCTGTATATCTAAGGTGCTGTACAGGCAAGGCACAGTCATTTTTATGGTTATGTGGTAGAAGCAGTTGTATCCTTGCTCCTCTGGAGCCATCCCAGATGGCAGTGGCTTTGTGCAAAGGCAGCCCTGCAACTGGGGTTGGAGGACTTTGTGGCAGCACCTCTGGGTTTGAAAGCAGATGGAATGTGGCTGGAATCACCTCTGGGTTGGAAGCAGGTGGAATGTGGCTGGAGTCACCTCTGGGTTGGAAGCAGGTGGAATGTGGCTGGCAACCCCTCTGGGTTGGAAGCAGGTGGAATGTGGCTGGCAACCCCTCTGGGTTGGAAGCAGGTGGAATGGGCAGCCTGTTTATAAACTGCCCCTGTGGTCCCTTACTGCTAGCTGCAGTGGGCTGTGGTCAGCTTCTTGGCTACTGTGCCTTTCAGCTATGCCATCTGGGTTTCTTCCTGTTGCTGGTGGGGAATTATTTTACCTTCTGAACTTTCCAATAGCTGAGTTCAGCAGAATGGATGGAATTTCCCGCAAATTACAGCCTTTGCTGTTCTTACACAAAGCCTCGGGACTGGCTGCTTTGCAAATGTGTTTTTCTGCTTTGTAGCTCCCTGTTGCTGAGTCTCTGGCTATGGCCATTGAATTGAAGTTCCCAGCACCAGAGACTGTCTCAAAAGGTGGTTGGAGTGGAAAGGTGGTTGCTGTATGGAGTGGTTTTTCTTTTTAATCRTGAATAGTAGGGCTCAGATTGCCAGCACATTCAAGAATTTAAGTGAACAGTCAAGTCCATCTTTTAACTAATCTCCTTCCAGYTGGCTGTGCCAGTTTCATGGAGAGGGTTTTCCTCAGGCCTGGGATTCCCCATGGAAGAGTACAATCACTTAGGCTGACAACTGCTGGAARTTGAGATTTTGGGGGAAAAACCTGAGTCCAACTCATAGAGCACTTATCACCGGAGCAGGGGATTTTGCTGTCCTGAAAACAAGTTGTGACCGAAGCAGGAAAGAATGTGAAACTTTGTGACCTTGTGCTTCTACCACAYAGTTGTAAAATAAACATCAAACTGAGAATGGTTAAATGTCCCTCCATTCATTATTGAAACTGGAAGGGTTCTAAAGCTGAGGTTTATATTTTACATTGTTAACTACCTTTTGCCTTACTCACATTTCTCACTTTGCACAGCTGAATCAGGCTGGTCAGAGCAATCCCCCAGTATCCTATGGTGTGGCTGATCTCATTACTCATGGAGCCTGAGCTTGAGCCAATTGTGCCTTGCTATGATGACTTTATTGCCAAGGGATTGTGAAATGTGTATTTTTTGATACATGCCTGGGTTGGAGAAATGCTCTTCCCTTTACCTTGGTGCTGTTTACAGAGGAGCATAGCACAAAGGGCTGGGTTCCTTGCTCAGCTCTTCTGGAAATCCATCCTGCTGCCTAGCAAGATGTCCAGCTGCCTGTTCCCAAAAAGGTGTCTCTAACTTGCTTCAGAGGTGTGAACTGTTTTTGCTGACAATCACAGCTGCCAGTGAACTTTGAAAACCCTGAGGAGTTTTGTCCCTTTTCTCCCTCCCTCTGACATTTTCCACTGCAGTACATGATTGCAGTCATTCAATTCCCCCTCATGGGTTTCTCCACTGTTGAAGCAGTGCATTGTATTTTTCAAGGCAGCATCACAAAATTGATGGGATTCTGCTGGTCTGGGCTTCCTTGCTGCTCATTACATGACAAAGCAGCAAGGACAGCCAGACCTGTCCTTGTAAAGAGCTGGGAAAATAAGGTTTGGCTGGAACATTGCATTGCACTGGGTGAGAGGAACTGTGTTCTGAAAGCACTGAGGGGTCTGGATGTGGATAAAGGGGCAGGTARTTATTCTGCAGAAATTACTCTGAAGAAAACCCAAGGTAGCTTTACCCTGCTTGTTAAAGCTGTGTATTCATGTGAATATATTTATTTATATTGAATCATAGAATAGTTTGGGTTGGAAGGGACTTTTAAAGATCATCTCATTCCACCCTCTTGCCATGGGCAGGACATCTTTCACTAGACAAGGTTGCTCCAGGYATGGGGCAGCCAYAGCTTCACTGGGCAACCTGTGYCAGGGCCTCACCACACTCATCGTAAGGAATTACTTTCTAATTTCCCATTTAAATTTCCCCTCTTTCAGTTTGAWTCCRTTGTTCTTTGTCCTGTCACTCCAGTTTCTGCTGAAGAATATCTCCCTGGCTTCYCTGTAGGCTCCTTCAGGTCCTGGAAGACTCTACAAGGTTTCCACACAACCTCATCTCGAGGCTGAACAACCCCAAAGTTCTCAGCCTGACAACTTCATAGGCACCTGTGTGGCATTCTGAACTTCACAACTTGTATCTAATCCTTTGGAATCCAAACAGACTGCCCAGGCTTGCTGGCACAAAAGCTGTGCCTGCTGACAGGCCGTGCCAACGGGGTTTACCCAGACCTCCAGAGACTGGTGCCATAGGCTCCCTCACACACGGGCATGGGACACATCCTGCTCAGCAGGAGCTATTGGATTTTTCCAGTCCTGATACTATCAAATTCTTGTTGTGTTTCACGGTGCAAGGGGTATGTGTTAAATCTATTTTGAAAGCATTCTAAAGGGATGAGCACAGACTCTTTTTAGCTCAGCAATGTTTGTGCAGTATTAGGAGAAAAACCAAGTAATGTTTTTCTTCCCTTGTTTTTAAGGAAACATGATATGTGAGGRGTGGAACAATGCTTTGTTTCAGGAAATGTTATCCGTTTCCATTGTAGGGCTAGATGGATTCTGTTTTTAAATGTGGCATTTTAAAAAGAACAAACTCTATGATGTTATAAAGACATGGAAAATTGATTCTTCATTAGGGGTGGAGAAAGTGATTATCATTGTGTGCTTTCTCTGATAATATCTGATAGTCCCCTTCTCTCCTGCTATATTCAGCTTGTTTAGTTGTCAGGCGTTGTCAGACTAAATTGCTAAAAATAACAAATAAGGGGGAGGCTCTGCTGGGCAGCCCTGTCTGCTGTGTGCCACTGAATTTAGCTCCTTCGGAAAAAGGGCAAAAGCAACCTGCAGCTTTCTGGTTGAATTGGATTTTGGTTTTAAACTCTGACCACAACATAGCTGTGTGCTTGTTTCCCAGGCAATTCTTTCACATGTCTGTGGGAGACTGAAAGTTTACTGCTGCAGAGATAAAGGGTTGGTTGGTTTCTTCTCTGGCTGCCTGGAGTAGAAAATACAATCAAGAAAGCTGTGCCTAAAGGCTTGATTTCYAATTCAGAAATCCTTCATGTGATCCATAAAACACCATGTCCAATTTCCCTATCCCAYGCAGAAAATATCTTTGCTCTCCTTCCTGGTGGAGGAGGGAGCACTGAGCTCTCAAACATCGCTGTGCTCCATGTTTAAAGCCCCAGGTGATGTTTGCAAAGCTGGYGAAATTACAAAGTGACTGCACTGAAATGCCTTAAGGTGACCACTGACTTCTTCCCTGGTGTTGCCTGAGCACAACCTTGCTCATGCTGCAGCTTCCATTTCTGTAATCTTCTTTTTTCTGGGAGCTTTAAAATGGCTTTGCTGCAGCCCTGGGGCAGAGTGGGGGTGTCCCCCTGCGATGAGTCGGCTCTGGCAGTTGCCACAAGGGTGTTTTCTTCCCCTGTGGGAACAAAGATTTTGGCAGGTGAGGGTGTGGCTGGGGAGAAGCGCTGGAGCCTGGGGCAGGTATGGCTGGCATGGACCTGCTCGGTGTGGYCCCAGTCTCTGACCTGCTCTGGTGGCAGCTCTCCTTC